GTTCAAAGAGGTTTTTTTATACTTTTGCCCAGAGACACTAATCCAAATTTGGTACTGACTGAAATATTTGGAACTCCTCCAGCTGAATTGTACCTATATGACCACTTGGGCAACTGTTTATAACAAAAAATCACAGCTTTACAGTCTTTTGCATAACAATACTATTTACTAAAGCTCTAGTAACTATGTCTCTTTTAATTGTCTCTTTATGACTTTATTAAAAGTAAACTCTAACTCTTAGTTACATAAACAGACAGAGTTTATATGCCATGCCTTCAAATAAATTACTCCCATGCTTGAAATTTAACATTATTTCCCCAATATCGTACATGACAAAAATTTCCCTCAAAATTTATTCTCCCTGTGGCTGCTGGGAGATTGCTGAAAGCATAAAGAAAAGCTGTTAATATTTTTCATAGTTAGACATAGAATCCCTTTTTTCAGATTTAAAACATTTTTAACATGAGACTAAAGGCTGAAAAGTACAGAATTAAAAATAATTGCACAAAAAATCTCAAACATTTATTAGAATTGTAAGCTAAATTGGAACCAGAGAATCTTTTTCAGTCTGCTACAACAGGTTAGGTAAAAACTGGCTTTTGAGTATAAAATAATGAAAGAAAAGAAGAAAAGGCCTGAAGAACTATGTAGCTTTATGACCTATGCAGGGAACAAAAGGTTAAGCATTCAGAACAATACTACATTTTCAATTGTATCCATCAAAGCAGTTAATGGAGAGTTTTCATTAGAAATTGCTGTTTGAATGAAAACCTCAAAACTCACACAACAACATTAATTGTTTTGCATATACACATGCATGAAACAATTACACATTCCCTTCAAAGTATGTTAGACTGTTCCTGGGCTTAAGTTTTAGCAGTTAAACTGGGTTTTATTATCTGATATTTAAAACAACCCCACTTCTTTCTCTCATATGATCTGATAAATACTCTTGGAAGAGCATATCAGCTATCCTTTTACTTACATTAGACAGATGGGCTAGTTCTATCTCCAGGAAAGAATCCGTAGTTTTGGGCTCAGGTCGTATAGTAACAACGATGATTTTTGAATTAACAACCGTAAAATTCCTGGAAAAAAAGACATGTAAAAATGAAAGATTTAACTTAGTATGAGGTTAAATGAGGCTTCTGATATTATGTTTAAAGAAGTATCTCATGGCTATTTTCCATTATTTTAGTCAACAAATATTCAGGGAGAAAAACTATTTGTTTGGAAGTGGTGAAAACATTCATTCGTTACCAACCATACCTGACACATTAAAGACTGAAGAGCAACTACGGTGGCAGAAGTGCCATTTGTTAAAGTACAATTTACTAATTAGAAGGGTGTATTGATGACACAAACATTCTGTCAATGTTTGAATGCATACCATTCACTTCTCTCAACGTAGACCTACTAGCTATGTTTTATGAGAGACAATAATTTTTCTTCCGAAGTGCTGTGTTGGACTTTTTTCTGACTGTTAACTGGAAAATTGTGAAGATGGATGAATGCAATGGGAGATTCTACATTACTGTTGATTCTGCGCTCATAAAAAAAACCTACCTGTTTCCAGTTTTTGAAAAATCATTGCATTTGGTATATGAGTGGGCAACTTCATCATCTAAATACTTTTTAAAATATAATCCACAGTTGTGCCCTGACTGAAATCCCACCAAAACCAATCATTTTTTTCTCATATATGTAAGATTAGATTTGGTCTTATGTTATTGTACCAGGTTACTCAAAATAATAATTTTCTGTTAATTTCTCTAATTCATCATCAATCTCTCTTTTCATGTAAAACGTGGATCACTACATTTTGTAGCTACCTTTCTAGGACAGACCCAGTATTGCCAAGGTTATGCTAATATAGGCATAGAGACATGTTGACATGATGTTCACATCTGAGATCCTTGCTTCTTATGACCCTGTCAGGTTTAGAACAACCATCAGTTATCAGCCTGACTGTTTCTTATGATCATTACAGTATTTCCTTTGTAGGTAATGCTGCTTTCAATACTTTCTGCTGATTGTACATAAACAAACATAAAACCTCACAGAAAGACATATTCACAAGTAGATGTTATCAAAGAAGAAACTAGGCAGTTTAGATGTAGTTATAAA